AGCTGTCCACAAATTTTCGATTTATTCAATATATCATATACGACGTGGTATGTCCACAATTTCATTACAGCAAGTTGTCTTACCTTCTTCCCATCTATAAACTATCTTCCGTGCAAGCTCTGACTCATCAACTGAGCTCGAAGACCTACAGCGTAAAGTTCAAAGGTTCAAAAGTTATTTTGGGATTAATTGATCAAAGACCAAGTAATTAGGAATTATACACAGCTTGACTAGTAAAAATTAGCACAAATTTCAAGTGCCCAGCAGTGCATTACTCCTCCATTTGGTCACTAAGGAGCCTAAGGGGCGCAGAAAATTTATAGAACATGAAATTTCGATAACGTGCTTTGAACTTTTCCATTAAAAACCAGCTAAGCCAAATTGCACTAATCTCATTGCAGGGGAAAATTCGGTATTCCAAGTCCTATCCTATACTAATACGTTTCCTGCTTACTTTGCCTCACTTTCCCTAGGTTTTCTTGGCAGCCAAACAGAACATTACAGTAAAAAAAAACTATGAGAAGGAAGAAAAAAAAGAGAGTGAATTGTTGAAAGGAAGTACTGGCGAGGCTTCTGGCTCTGAAGGATGAGCTTGCGCTGCAAATAGGCCTGGTCGATGTCAAAGGGCTCTCTCAGAGAGCTGGTCAGGCGCGGAAGCTGAACCAACATATTTTTCCTAATTCTTCAGCCTAAACGAAGCTTCGGTACTCCGATCCAATGTCAATCTTTGAGACTCAGGTTTTATAAGTAGGCTTTTGGGACAAGAAAGTAAATGAAGCAAGCGAACAAATGTATACGGATCAAGGCTCCGACCCCATTTTGTAAGCATTTTAAAAATATTATTTTAAATTCTTGTGTGTACTTAAAATATTTTTTGGACATCTCCTAGCTTTCAGAAAAACATTAAATATAATATTTTAAGCGTACAGCCGAGCGGCTATACTCTATAATAATAATATTCAGTAATATTTTTAAAGTAAAGCTGAGCAGCTATACCCTATCCTTTGTAAATATAATATTTTAAACATAGACCCGCGAGGAGGTACTCTATAAATAGAATATTTGAAGGGAATACTCGCACGGCTATACCCTTTAAATAGCAACATCTGGATTTCTCTTTTTAAATAAATTTAATTAGTAGTAATGTTTTAATTACTATTTACATAGTGAATTGGGTCCTACTGTCAAATTCTGTCCATGTATTCGTCAAAATGAGGGGTAAAAGCGTCCTTTCGAGTCAGAAATGAGGGGTAAAAGCGTCCTTTTGAGTCAGAAGAAAAAAACTGAAAAAATAAAAAAATAAACTTTAAAATAAAAAAATAAAAAATAAAAATCCCTTTTTCTTTCCCTCTGTTTCTCCCTCCCTCTCGCAACCCATTCCCCCCTCCTTATCCCACCCCCCTCAAAACACAGAGGAACACCGAGGAAGACCAACAACAACAGCAACAGAAATTGCAAGATCATTATATGTACAAGTGTAATGAGAAATCAATCATTCAAAGAGAGAGCTTGACGCTTAAGCGAATCGGATCGAATCATATCTTTCTTCTTCTTCGATGGCTGTTTGTTTTCCGGGAAAAAAAGAAGTATGTCCCTCAGTTGAAACTCTCACTTTCCCGGGAATGGTTCCAGTGCCAAAGAAGGACTCTTCTTGCTTTGCTGCCTTATCCAATCAATTCCTCATGATCCCATTTTGCATGCCGAAACTGGTGTGTATAGTTTTCTCTTGACCCTTGTGTTTTCTGGATTTATTTTGTTTCTGGGTTTTCTTTGTGGCTTGAAATTATGGTTATTTGAGATCTGAAATTGTAGCCATGCTGGGTGTATTTGATTTGGTTGAAAGTATAAAGTTTCATCTATTTGGGGCTGAGATTTGATGTGGGTATTGAAATTTCAAGTTTGATATTTGCTGGGTGATTGATTTTCTGGACTTTATAGATGAAGATTGAGATGGGTTTAGTAGGAGGTGGGGGTTGGGATATGGGTTTTGAGGGGGGAATGGGTTGCGAGAGAGAGGGATTTTTATTTTTAAGTTTATTTATTTAATTTATTTTTTCAGTTTTTTTCTTCAGACTCAAAAGGACGTTTTTACCCCTCATTTTGATAGACAAATTGACAAAATTGGACGGTAGGACCCAATTGCAACTATTTGTCCAGTTAAAGGATGTAATTGGTACAAAAAAAAAGAATTCGCGGACCCAATTACAATTGGGGGCCAAGTTCAGGGACGTCTACAGTAGATATGACTGAATAATTAGTATTTAAATATTGTATGAAAGAAAAAATTAAAAAAGACTAATTGCTATTTATACATGTACATAGGTATTTTCCATGTTTAATACACCAATTTTTTTACAAAAATTCAATAAGACATACAAAATTCACGTATTATACACATAATTCTCAGATATTACTGAATAAAAATAATATATATTTTAAAACAAAAAAAAGGTATAGCCGCTCGGCTATAAACAGTTTTTCCTAATAAAAATAGTATCGCCGCGCGGCTATACTCCTTTTTTAATTTTTAAAACAAAGATAGTATATCCGGTGGGCTGTACTTGTTTGACACGTGGCGCGCAGGCGTTAGTCGTGTCTATCCTTTTCTATTTTTTGAAAGAAATGGTATAGCCGAGAGGCTATACTTTGTTTTTCTTTTTTTTAAACGAGAAATAGTATAGCCGCCAGCTGTAATGTTTTGACACGTGGCACCTATGCGCTGAGCGCATCATTTTTTTAATATATAAATAGTATAGCCGCCCGGCTATACTATTTGAAATTTTTTTTAAACATATAATTAGTTTCTTTATTTTTGTTTTTTTCCCACTTCTTTAATTCAATATATATAATTATGTAATGTCTTATCCTTTTTGAATTCATTTGTAATTATATTTAATTTATTATTTAATATAAAAAATTTATAAAAAAAGTCCACAAAATAATCAATTTCTATTTATTAAGTCTTTTGTGAATCGTTTAGGTGTCCTAATTAATATTTTATACAAATTTATAAATAAACCCAATTCTAGACATGTATTTATAAAAAAAAACTCAAATACTATTTAAACATAGAAACACACCCAAAATCAATCCCAAAGTCAACAATTGTATATTTTTTTGGTGTATTTATAAATGGGTTTTGAGTGTGTGTAATGATGGGTTTTGGGTGTGTTTATAAAGTGTTTTGGTTGTTATGTTTTTTTATAATTTCAGCTTCCATTTTGGGTGTTTTAGTGAAACTCCTTTAATTTTATCCATAGCCCAAGAGCCCTATCCATTATTATTAGGCTATTACTCTAGTATTTATTATCCCTTTTTTATTTTTTACTTTTTCAGAGTTACTACCCGTATAAAGATTCTAACGCCTTCACGTTCAATAATGTATCATACACGTACGCACGTATTTCTTAAGTTTAATACACCTATGTTTTACAAAAATTCAATAAGACACACGAAATTCACGTCTTATACACATAATTCTCACGTATTATTGAATAAAAATAACATATATTTTAAATCCAAAAAAAAAAAAAAAAAAGGTATAGCCGCCCGGCGATACTCATCGTATAGCCGTGCGGCGATACTCCCTCAGTGGGCTGTACATGTTTGACACGTGGCGCAGACGCTGGATATAATTAGTATAGCCGACCGACTATACTATTTAATTTTTTATTTTTTGAAAGAAATAGTATAGTAGTTTGGCGATACTGGTTTTTCCCCCTTTTTTTAAATGAGAAATGGTACAACAGCCCGGCTGTACTTGTTTGACACATGGCACCCATGCGCTGTGCTCATCCCTTTTTTAATATATAAATAGTATCGCCGCTCGGCTATACTGTTAAAATTTTTTTTTTAAACATCTAATTAGTTTCTTTACTTTTTTTTTTTCCTACTTCTTTAATTCAATATCTATATAATTATGTAATGTCTTGTCCTTTTTGAATTACTTTAATTATTAATTATATTTTATTTATTGTTTGATTCAAAAAATTTATAGAAAAAGTCCACAAAATAATTAATTTCTATTTACTAAGTCCTTTGTGAAATCGTTTGGGTGTCCTAATTAATTTTCTCCATAGACCAAGAGTCATATCCATTACTATTAGGCCATTACTCGAGTATCTAACATCCCTTTTCCATTTTTTACTTTTTCAGAGTTATTACCGGTAAAAAGATTCTAGCGCCTTTATGTTTAATAATGTATTATATACGTACGCACATATTTCTCATGTTTAATACACATATTTTTTACAAAAATATAATAAGACACACAAAATTCACGTACTATCTCCTACATATTAAAATCATGATTAACTACTTAAAATCGTTGATGGTAATGGCGAAAGAGAAACACCAGCTAAAGTATAAGGACTATATAATTTAAAATTTGAATGGAAAGAATACCATGTTTAACTACTTATTCACATATGTTATGGTTAAGTTTGTTGGAAGTTTGAATGAATTTCAAAGACATTTGTCCCATATTGGTAGACAGAAGAAATAGTAGGGTCTTTATAAGTGTGGAAGTCTCACACTTAGTAAATGAAAGTTAGGCCAAGTGGAAGCCAATTGGGTTTCAAAATCAATTTGGGCATTGAATATTATATAAATAATCAATTATGTTTAATTATCAAAAAGACGGGCCTTGGGGCATTTGGGCAATTTCAGATTTAAATTAATTTTTTAGTTTCAAATTAATTATTATTTTTTATTAATTCGGATTAGTTTAATTAACTGTTTTATAGCATTGGATTTTCCGGGTAAATTCTTTATTAGCGCATTCTAATTACAGACTTAACTTGGGTAATAATGGGAGGTCCTCCATTGAAAACTAA